CATTATGCATTTGAGAGTAGTTTAAGGTCCTATTTCCATCAAGGAAGGGTTCTAGGTCACAAGCTTTGCATCTAGGAGGGTTTATGGCCAAAATGTAACCCTTAAAGGGGTTTACGGCCATGGGAGATGGCTTGGCCGTAAACTCCTTTTTATTCCTTGTGTTTTTGATGTTTTCAAGGCTCTAAGCATGAGTCCTAACTAGATATAAAGTGTAGGTAAGAGTACTTACGATATAGAGGCTTGAAATGGTTGATTTTGGCCAAGAACACTACTATGTGCTCTTGGTGTTTCTTGAAGATCTAAGAAAACATGATTTCCATGGATGAAATCATGAGATGATGCTAGTTAAGAAGGATTAACATCAAAATAAAGGAAGAACACTTACAACTTTTGATGATATAGGATGAAAATCGGGATGATACTTGAGAGGATTTGGAAGTGTTCTTGAGGTGGAATGAGATAATGAATTAATAGTGAAGGACATGAGCTTGTATAGGTGAGTTTACGGCTCACTTGGAGTTTACGGCCGTAAACTCTAAGTGTTGTGGCCGTGAACTCATGGTGGTGATGGTTAAGGCTTGTATGCTGTTCAGTGGCTCTAGCAGGTACTTCCTAACACTCATTCCTTATGTGTACTAGGTTCAGAACACTCACACAGACTGTAAATTGTGCTAAATGATGGCAGGAGTGAGTCTGGTACGAAGTTGAGTTGACTGACTAAGCTTTCAATGTAAAAAAATTTCGAGTTCTCACAATTAAATCTATTAGTGTTATGCTAGCCATAGTTGAGTTTCATGACTATGAAATTTGGAAGATGGATGCCAAAACCACCTTCCTTAATGGGAAGCTGGCTGAGGATGTTTACATGAGTCAGCCAGAGGGTTTTATGTATGCAAAGTATCCCAATAGATTGTGTAATCTTAAGAAATCAATCAATGGATTGAAGCAAGCTTCTCGCAGATGGAATCTTTGCTTTAACGAGAAGGTTAAAGAGTTTAGTTTCTATAGAACAGGAGATGAATCTTGTGTATATGTCAAAGATAGTGGGAGTATGGTAACCTTACTATTATTGTATGTTGATGACTTACTTCTTATAGGAAACGAGTCTCCAACTTTTGCAAGAAGTTACGTCTTGGCTTGGAAAATGTTTCACTATGAAGGATCTGGGAGAGGCTGCTTATATTCTAGGGATATGGATTTTGAGAGACAGGAGCAAAAGACTAAATGGACTTAGTCAAAATACGTACATGGATAACGTGTTAAAATGTTTTAGCATGGAGAATTCCAAGTACAGAGAACTGCCTATCCAGATTAATACCAAACTAAGTAAGACTCAGAGTCCAAGTACTAATGTAGAGATAGGAGAAATGGGTAGAGTTCCATATGCTTATGTCATTGGATCGATAATGTATGCTATGACATGTACTCTCCTTGATGTGGATTTTGCTTTGAGCATGGTTAGTCGATATTAGGGAAATCTGGGTAGAGCTCAGTCATTGGATAGCGGTCAAGAATATTCTCAAGTATCTGCAAAGTACTAAGGATTGGGTTCTAGTGCTTGGTGGCAATGATAACTTGAAACTAACTGGGTATAGTGACCCCAACTTTCAGACAGATAGAGACAAATTTCGTTCTCAATCTGACTCAACGTCTGCCTTAATGGTGGAGCAGTAACTTGGAAAAGTTCCAAACAGGAGATAGTGACATATTCTACATGTGAATCAAAGTACATACCAACAAGTGAAGTATCGAAGGAGGCTATATGGTTGAATCTTCATCGGAGATCTTGGAGTTGTGCCAGCCATAAAGGAGTCAATGGAGATTTTATATGATAATGAAGGAGTGGTTGCCTTGACAAAGGAACCAAGAGATCATGGCAGATCAAGACATAATGACAGAAAATACCATTTTATCATACATAGAGTAGAAGAAGGATGCCTCGTCGTGAAGAGGGTATCATTAGGAGAAAATCCTGTAGATCCCCACACAAAGGGTCTGAGTAGGATTAAGCATGTTCAGCATGCAAGAAGAATTGGTCTAGATGATGATATTAGTTTTAGTAGTTAGATAGGTATTTAAAAACTTTAAATCAGTAAATGTAATTGACCTTTAATGATTAAATAAAGGAGAATTATTTATACATATTGTTTACTATATTTTGTCAATTGTTTATTATTGTGTTTCATTTTGAATGTTTTACTTCCCAAATAATTCTATTATTTAAACATCCACAATCGATCATACTTTTGGAAGTAAGTAGTGAATTAAGACTGTCATGAATTAGATTGTAGATTGTCTAAAGAGTTTAAATATGGAAATAGTGATGCTGCAATATTCATGAGTACTTTGAAATGGAGAATTTAAGTATTGGATTAACCCTCGCTCAGATAATTACTTCATAAAGATTATCACGAGTAATTTTGAGACGATAACATCTTATACTCTTTAAATGGAGATATATCAGTCATTGTTTAGAAATCAATTGTGCATTTGTGATATGTAAACGCATCAATAACTTGATGTTATAAAACTTGTTGTTGTAGATGATTTGGTGAGTACATAGTACAAGAATATAAGTCAAAGTTTACTTGTTCCTTTTTTGCCTTAATGGGGAAAAGCGATATCGTGGGCCCCTTGATCATTTTGTGTTGACTTATAGTGTCGGGCCCGACCACGACCGAAGTGATGTGTTCGATTGGTTGTTTTTTGTCATTAAAAATCAGAAATCGGGAATCAGGTATTGGATAATTTTCTGTTCCATGTAATTTTTCCACATTATATCTTGCAGAACGGATGATTATACGATTACTTATTGTCACACCCCCGGACTAGATGGCGGAAATGTCCGGAGGCGGGTGACTTCATTGTGCAGTATCATAACAATTGAATATAAATGAAATAGAGCAATCCAAGCATCATTCATTGAGATAACAAACTTACATTGTTTACATATTGTATTTATTCTTCAAGTTACACAAAACGTACATAAGTAGAATAGAATCCAAACTACAGCTGAATAGCCTTGCATCAACATCCCTTATTACCTACTTACTAGATCCCTGAGAATACAAGTCGTTTTCAAAAACGTCAACTAAAAAGTTGGTGAGTTCATAAGCATTTTTGTTGAAAATCGTTTACACTTGTTTAGAATCATTCTCGTTGTACTTTTAGAAAATCAGATATTTTCTATGAAATCATTTGGAGTCTTGCCTTGAAAATCATGGTTATATGTGTGCATGACATTACTTTTGTTCATCCTTATAAGGAGTGATCTTTTAAAAGTAGTGTGATCTGTAAACGCAAGTTCTGTTTGAGAATGGTTCTTTTGAATAGTAACAATCAACCGTTTCAAGAAAAATCCCTTATTTTCCAAAAGGAGATATGGTTGAGAATCCTGTTCCACTTATCGAGTAAAATTGAGTGTGTGCGTTCTAGGTTATCGTTATCGAAAATCATAGAAAAATCGTTTTCCACATAAAATCCTATATTTTCTGCTATAAATTAATCATATGTTCTGGTTTATCGTTATTGAAATCGTAGAAAATCCTTTTCTCCAGAAAATCCTATATTTTTTGTTATAAAATATACGTAAGTTCTAGTTTATCGTTATCCAAAATTGTAGAAAATTGTTTTCCATAGAGTCCTATGCTTTTTACTTTGTAAAATAGTAGTATTTCAACTCTATGCTTGTAGGGAGAAAGAATCATGGCAATTGTGGACATTCTACATGGTGAAAAGAATGGACAGTCAATGCAACAAATGTGGACCATCACCTATAATGTTTAGGGCAGTCAACATAACGGGCCACAATTTATTTATGAGGTTTTTCCTTACATAAATATCTAGTTAATATAACATATTCTAGTCAGTCGTTATAACCATACTAATCATGATGGAGTGCTTGTTTTGGTGTTTCACAGGCGCCCTCGGTTTGGAAAAAGACATTTGTCACCCTAGACTGGCCTGTCTAGCTGTAGCGAACAACGAAGGTGCGCGGTGTCAAACCTGTATAGATCTATACACAAATTCCCGCTCTCCGTCCAGGAGACTCTGGCTATAACTCCTTACAGGACTTAGACATACACTAATATTTTTATATTTAGGTACTTTTGAGATTTGTCTCACTAGAATATTAACAACCTTTTGAGCAATCGTTAGACATTCATTATTTGTTAGATAAATAATGAAATTCGTACTCTTGGAATAGAAATATCCTTATCGTTCCATATCGTTGATTGTGCTCGTTAACTGGGTGCTCGTGTTCGTTCCTTTTCGTTTATTGGAAAATGAGTCATTTTAGTCAAAAAAAAAGTGTCAAGTTATACTTTGTATAAATTCATAACTGCCGGTTATGACACACATTTTCTGTTTTATGACATATAGAACATTACTTGTGTTCTTGGAGGTTTTATGACAAATGCTTATGACATGCAAATATTTCTGTCATAAAGGCTCTACTTGTATATTTTCTTGATGCATACTTTTATGTTGAATATTTATAAAACACTTGCTGATAGTTTGCAAAATAGTCACAAAGTTTCAATTTTCGAAAAATCACTAGAAATAGTTTCCACTTAGTAATATCCGTTTTATAACTTTTATCTTTAGACATGAAAGCATAGATAAAGGGGTTAGGTTGGGCACACTCAATAGTTAGGAGGTTCTTTTGCATAAAGTATCCTTTGTTCTTTATGAAATTGAGAAATCCTACGTCCGTGAGTATATTACTAAAATATTAATTTAATAATATTTCACACACATACAATCATACATATATAAGCAATTATTCAAATATTTAGGCAAGATTTGACTTGTACTCTCCCCCCAAAACATTGAAATGTTATAAACATGGGGGTATGAAGTTGACCTTGAGTTGGTTGAGGAGTTGTTTGGAGTTATGGAGTGAAGATCTCAAGCTTTAACTCTTGCTGAGATGAGGAACTTCCTAGGAGGAATGATTTCCTAAGGATGATCATCACATATTATTATGAATAAAATAATATGGATTCATCTTGAAATATAATAAAATATTAGATGAGTGGAGGAATTTACCTTAAAGTTTCTCAGGAAGAAGTTGAGAAATTTCCTTTCAGCTAGATCCTCTATTCTTGCTTGAAGATGAGTTTTTGCGAGAAAATGGGGAAAAGTGAGAGAGAAAGTGGAGTCTAAACTCCGTCACTGTCATTGCTTTGGAGTATAAGGAAAAGGAAAGGAATCTTTGATGCATTGGGATCTAGTGGTCCATGCATGGATATTTGGTGGGTAAAACATTGAATACTGTGATTTGCATGGGAAATGATGAATTTCGTCAAATCACAAAGTCAATCATTTTGTCCTTTTCTTGATTTAGGATAAGGTTTTCCTAAATCCAAAACATTTATTTTTATGAAAAATATGCTTAAAATAATTAATTTTAGCATAAAATAATGGTTTTAGGGGTCTTAGTTAAGAAAAACACGAGTTTGGTGGGATTTCCGACCTCAAAATATCTTAAAATGATGAAAAAGTCCGAAAATATTGAAAATCCGGAGTCATAAGGTGAAATCCGGAGTCATAGTGTAATTTCCGAAGCTGTACATCAAATTTCGGAGGGAAGGGTAAGGTATGCGAGGGTCCGAAGTAGTTGGCAAGAAAGTTCCGGAGGCGCTGGGCAGGTTACGAAGCAAAAAGTACTTTCCGGAGGGCTGTTCTTGGATTCCGAAGTCAAGCGCGTGTTTGGGCTGGTTCGGACCGAGGATGCGAGATTAGCTAGACTTCCGAAGCATTGCGAGGTAAAGAGTTACGGAGATGAGAAGGTTCTGAAGCAAGGTCCTTCCGGATGAGAGGCCTCTCACTAGTCTATCAGAGGGTCCGAAGCACATGGGGGGTTCCGGGGTGAGAACCTTCTTGGTTCCTTAGAAGGTGTCCGGGCTAAGAGGGATCCGGACCAAGAGGGTTCCGGACCAAGAGGGTCCTTTTGGGGGTTTCCTCTTACGGTTTTGAGCTGTTTTCGACTGAGCAAGGTACTTAGGGAGATTTGAAAGAGATTTGAGATACGTGGATAGATTTGGGAGAGCTTTCACATATTTGGATAGATTTGGGAGAGATTCACTATACTTGGAGAGATTTGGCATACTTAGAGAGATGTGGGAGAGATTCACTATTCTTGAAGAGATTTCGCATACTTAGAGAGCTTTGGGAGAGATTCAATATTCTTGGAGAGATTCACTCTTCTTGGAGATATTTGGGAGAGATTCACTATTCTTAGAGAGATTTTGCATTCTTAGAGAGATTTGGGAGAGATTCACTATTCTTGGAGAGATTTGGGAGAGATTCACTATTTTTTGAGAGATTTCGCATAATTAGAGAGATTTTGGGAGAGATTTCACATACTTGGAGTGATTTGGGAGAGATTCACTATACTTGGACAGATTTGGGAGAGATTCGCTATTCTTGGAGAGATTTAGGAGAGATTCACTATTCTTTGAGAGATTTAGGAGAGATTCACTATTCTAAAAGAGATTTCACATAATTAGAGAAATTTGGGAGAGATTCACTATTCTTGGAGAGATTTGGGAGAGATTCACTATTCTTAGAGAGAATTCGCATACTTAGAGAGATTTGGGAGAGATTTCACATACTTTGAGAGATTTGGGAGAGATTCACTATACATGGAGAGATTTGGGAGAGATTCATTATTCTTGGAGAGATTTGGGAGAGATTCACTATTCTTGGAGAGATTTGGGAAAGATTCACTATTCTTAGAGAGATTTTGCATACTTAGAGAGATTTGGGAGAGATTCACTATTCTTGGAGAGATTTAGGAGAGATTCACTATTATTAGAGAGATTTCGCATATTCAGAGAGATTTGGGAGAAATTTCACATACTTGGAGAGATTTTGGAGAGATTGATTATACTTGGAGAGATTTGGGAGAGATTCACTATACTTGGAGAGATTTGCATTCTAACACTATATGGCTCCTTAGGAACTGATATTGAACACTTAGGAGTGTTAGGACAATCTCACAATAGTCCTTACTTACCTGAGGACATAATTTCCCAACTAAAAGTGCTAGTTGTGAGATCATCCTCCCGTTAGAGGGAATTTCGTCCTAAAATTCTTTCGAAGGGTAGGGTTATCAATGCGAAAATAGGTGAGGGTAATTTTGATTTATTTGGTCCTCACATTCTCAAATGAATATCGGTTCACGCCTAGTGTTCTATCGAACCTTCACAACAGGGATGCAACTTTGTTTTGTCTTATTAACTTTCCCGTTCATTGTCTTTATAGGCGGATCAATGATTAGGAGGTTCTAGTTTGCCTTAGTCTTGTCTAGTAGGACTGGGAGGGTTGTCCGATAGACACTTTCTAGGTTCGATCCATGGAATGCAGGGTGTGCGTTACTAAACTAGGAGGGTAATTGGAGTTAGTAGGCTACCGATCGATCTGTGTGAGGATCTCGAAGGGTCTGGTACATCGGGAGTTTAGTTCACGTTTCCCTTTTGATTTAAGTTACTCTTCCCCGAGGGGAGTTCCTAAAGTAATACCCCGATTCCCTACTTGGGACTTCAAGGTTTTAAGATGTTATCTACATAGTTCCTTTGTTGATGTTTGAGGTCGTGTTTGGGCTTTGACTATACTTATTGTGGTTTCTCGAGTAATCTCGGTTCTAGTGAGTGTGCTATTGGGCATTTGTCATTTTGTCGGATGGGTATCTCCCATCTTAGCGTAACAGAGGATGATCTGCACCTCTGGCCACACAGGTCCTTGAGGGGTGCAACTCCTGTTCTAGAGTGGTAGTTGTTGTCATATGAATACTCGATTAGAAGCAAGTGGGCATCCAACTTTGTCAATGTCCACTAAACATGCTTCTCTTTGGGGTGTGGGTTCCTGTTTACCCTAACCTCGACAAGTGAAATTTTCTAGAGTTTCGGTGGTCTGACACTTGTGAGTGTTGAACACATGGAAGGAGAAATATCCTAACATGGGTCTTTGGTTAATCGGAGACTATGAGTTATCGGGCCGTTTCTTGGCGAGACCTTTTGAATGGTCTTCTAGGAATCGGGATTCTGGTGTCCTAGAAGTAGAGTTTTCTAGGTCTTAGGAGTTGGTACTATGGTCACCAAGGTTGAGTTGGCGTGATATAGTTGACCTTATGAGTCTTAGATTATCCTGAGAGTTTTCTGATGGGTTTTATCCATAAGAACTTTCCTATGTGCGCATGCAAAACCCTAATGCTTGGATCTAGGCTTTCTAATTAAACATGCAAAACCCTAATGCTTGGATCTAGGCTTTCTAATTAAACATATTGGGACTTCCTCGACAAGACTCACCGAGTCCAAATGGACTCGTCGAGTCCAAGGCTATCTTCAACCTACTCGCCGAGTTATTCTTCCAACTCATCGAGTTCCAGGCCATCTTCAAGCAACTCGTCGAGTCCACCCATGTGACTCGTCGAGTACCACCGGTCTGAATCCATACAGAAGCATCTCAGGCCATGCAATTGATCCAAAACATAGATCCAACCTCCTACAATCCATCCATCACGTAAAGTGGCAAACTTTACGTGAATCTAAGGAGATCTAAGCCTTATTCACCTTAAAACCAAGGTTTGGGACATGGTGGCTTCACTAAGCACTCAAACACAGGAACTTTAATGCACTCTAGGCCTTCAATATTCCAGATCTGAGGTAGCAACCTCAGATCTAACCTCCAAACTCCAAAACATTCCAAGATATACTCCCCACAAACCCCAAAATGATGAAACTAGGAAGATACAACCCAAGAACGAAAGTGTTACCTCCAAAAGGTGCCTCAATAGCAACCAAACTCGAATCCAAGCAAAGCCCTTTGATCCAAGCCACTTCTCCTTCAAGATCTCTTCAAACAACACCTCTCCAAGTTCTAATTTGCTCCACAAATGAACTCTCCACGAATTTAGGGTTTCTGGAACTCAAGGGGGGGATAAGGGAGGCTGTGGAGGGGTATAATGCTCTTTTATCGGTTAATATACTTAGTTCACTATAAACAATGCTTTGATACCAATCTGTCACACCCCAAAGCCGGAACGGCGGAAACGTTCTGGGGTGGAGGATGTCATGTTTAGTATCACATGACATTCATCATAGTAATCAAAGTAATGAACAACCATTTCATTAGAAAGAAAGTGTTTACAAAGTATGTGTACACCAAGTAATCATAAAGGGTACCAGGTATAGGTCAGGTCATTAGAAAGAAACTATTTACATATAATGGCATATAATGACATTAATATAGTGTTTAGAAGCAACTATCATGCAAGGAAACACTTCGACCAAGTGTTGGAAGGCTAGGGAAGCTTAAGGGACTTTTGCTCTACACAAGGATGAGATAGACCAACTCAATGGAGGCTTTTGATGAGTTTACTTCCCAAAGGAGTTTACAGCCATAAACTGTCACACCCCGAAAACCGAAGGTGGAAACATTTACGGGGTTGACTTCACGTTGAGTATCAAATCCAATGCACATAGTAAGCAAAGTAGACAACCATTACATTACATATATAAAAGTTTACATTTGTTTCAAAAGTAAATTGTACAAGTGTGATACATAGTATTTATGAACAAAATGAGACGAGTCTTCTACGCACTCCGTCTTCGCCAAAATAGATCGTCGAGTACCTGTCTAATGCGAACCTGCGAATACAAGCGGTTTGAAAATCAGCATAAAGCTGGTGAGTTCATGAGCGGTTAGTTTTCTGAAAGTTTTACGAGTTCCTTTGGTTTCCTGAAAAGCGTTTATCCAAGAAAATCCCATATTTTCTTAAAAGTAGTGTTTACCAAATCCAAATTGTAATGTAAAAGATGTACAATGAAAACATAATTGTTCTTATGAATTGTAAAGTTTAGTTATTTAACTTGTTACACTTTTTTGGTTATGTACTACGGTTACTCAGGAAAATCCTATATTTTCCTACATGTGTATGTGTGTACTATTACCGATTCTATGTGTGCGAACTGTTACCGATTCCGATTATGTTCAATGTTATCCCCAGGAAAACCCCATGTTTTCCTGAATGTGTGGGTGTGTGAGCTGTTACCAATTCCAATTATGTTCAATGTTATCCCCAGGAAAACCCCATGTTTTCCTGAATGTGTGGGTGTGTGAGCTGTTACTGATTCCAATTATGTTCAATGTTATCCCCTGGAAAACCCCATGTTTTCCTGAATGTGTGGGTGTGTGAACTGTTACCGATTACGATTATCCTTAAATGTACATTAGTTTTATTACGTACATAAAACTAATAAATAAATTTAAAGTGTTAATAATCTTGATTGCGAGTCCTTAACCATACTTCAGACTAGATATGACTCGGGCCAGTGCCAGTATCCTTTTTATGACTTTCGTCACCCTTGAACCTTTCGGTTCGGCTGTAGCTAGCAGCCAGGTGTGGGATTGTCAGTCTCGTATAGATCTATACACTCAAGCCACACTCTCCTACATTCGGAGATTCTGGTTACAGGGGTAGTCCTCCAATCTCTCGAGCCAAGGAAGTGTTACAGAGGACGTGTCTCCAATATTTAAGATTTCCCTTTACTTCTCGTGCCTAGGGAAGTAGTATCTATAACTATCTAAGTTCTAATGGATCCTGTCCTTTACACTCGAGCCTAGGTGTTTTATTAGGGACATTACAATATTTTATGTATTTTAAAGGTGTCTGTCATTTACACTCGAGCCTAGGTGTGTTATTAAGGACATTACGATTGATTTATGTTTTCTAATGGTGTCTGTCTTTTACACTCGAGCCTAGGTGTGTTATTAAGGACATTACGATTGATTTATCTTTTCTAATGGTGTATGT